TGGACCTTTATAAAGCCCATCTTTGCATGAAACGTTCCCTTCTTATCTCCAGTTTTCTTGAAGAGATTTCTGGTTCTCTCTATTCTATTGTTTGCTTCTATTTCTTTGCGCTGTTCATTTAAGAAGGCATTCTCATCTCTTCTAGCTTTTCTCAGGAATTCTGCATTCAGTTGGGTGTATTTTTCTCCTTCTCCCTTGCCTTTAGCTTCCTTTCTTTCCTCAACTATTTGTAAAGCTTCCTCAGACAGCCATTTTGTTTTCTTGCCTTTCTTTTTCTTTGGGATGGTTTGAGTTGCTACCTCTTGTACAATGTTGCAAACCTCCGTCCATAGTTCTTCGGGCACTCTGTCTATCAGATCTAATTCCTTACATCTATTTGTCACCTCTGCTGTCATCAGGGATATGATTTAGGTCATACCTGAGTGGCCTAGTGCTTTTCTCTACTTTCTTCAATTTAAGCCTGAGTTTTGCAACAAGAAGCTCATGATCTGAGCCACAGTCAGCTCCTGGACTTGTTTTCACTGACTGTATTGAGCTTCTCCATCTTTGGCTGCAGAGCACATAGTCAATCTGATTTCTGTGTTGACCGTCTGGTGATGTCCATGTGTAGAGTCGTCTCTTGCGTTGTTGGAAAAGAGTGTTTGCTATGACCATCGCATTCTCTTGAAAAAATTCTACCAGCCTGTGCCCTGCTTCATTTTGTACTCCAAGGCCAAACTTGCCTGTTATTCTGGTTATCTTTTGGCTTCCTACTTCCAATTCCAATCCCCCATGATAATAAGGACATCATTTTTGGGTGTTAATTCCAGAAGGTGTTGTAGTCCTTCATAGAACCGGTCAACTTCAGCCTCTTCAGCACCAGTGGTTGGGGCATAGACTTGGACTACTGTGATGTTGAATGGTTTGCCTTGGATTCGAACTGAGATCATTCTGTCATTTTGGAGATTGTATCCCAGTGCTGCTTTTCCTACTCTTTTATTGACTGTGAAGGCTACTCCATTTCTTCTGAGGGATTCTTGCCCGCAGTAGTATACCTGATGGCCATCTGAATTAAATTCACCCATTCCTGTCCATGTTAGTTCACTGATTCCTAAGATGTCGATGTTCCGTCCTGTCATCTCTTGTTTGACCACATCCAGCTTGCCCTGATTCATGGATCTTACATTCCAGGTTCCTATGGAGTATGGATCTTTGCAGCATCGGACTCTCCTTTCACCACCAGATAGATCTGCAACTGAGTGTCCTTTCGGCTTTGACCCAGTCGCTTCATTCTTTCTGGCGTTACTGATACTAGCCCTCCGCTCTTCCCTAGTAGCATATTGGACACCTTCTGACCTGAGGGGCTCATCTTCTGGCGTCATATCTTTTTGCCTTTTTCTTCTGTCCATGGGGTTTTCATGGCAAGGGTGCTGGAGTGGGCTGCCAGTTCCTTCTCCAGTGGATCCCGTTTTGTCAGCGCTCTCTGCTATGGCCTGTCCATCTTGGGGGGCCCTGCACGGCATAGCTCATAGCTTCATTGAGCTACGCAAGCCCCTTCGCCACGACAAGGCAGTGATCCATGAAGGGGACTGTATTTAATACTTCTTGGTAATACTTATATGTTGCTTAATATAATATCTCTAAGAAGTTTCTGTTTCTTGAGTCCTGGTGGCAGCAGAGAAAAACATATGCACCCCAGATGCAGCCAGAGGCAAATCTGATCACAGCTCCTGTGTCTTCATCTGGGAGAAGCCCACCCCCAGCCGAGTGACAAGCTTTTTGAAGTGCGTGCAGCCCAAAACTGCCAGCGTGCTGCCGTGGTTAGAGTGCTGGAGACACAGGAGCCCCGGGTTCCACTCCCCACTCAGCCATGGAGCAAACTGGGTGACTTTAGGACAGTCACAGACTCTCAGCCTAACCTACTGGAATGTATTTATTTATTTGATTGTAATACCACCCCATACCCCCCGGTCTCTCTAGGTGATGAACAAGTACAGAAAAGATTTAAAACACGGAACAGTACGATGGATGACCAGAGAATCAGTTCAACCACATTCCCAAGTGTGTCTGTTCACAAGAAAGTCTCATAACTCTCCCAGGAAAATGTGTCTCAGCCCTAAGAGAAGCGGCGTGGCCTGTCACGGGGTGGTTGTTGGCAGCACACGTGGGGGGCAGCTCTGATTTCATGTGGAACCTGCCCTCCTTGTTCTGGTGTGGTATATCGAATATATGTGTTCTGGTCCAGCACATAGATTGTCTTAGAAGAAGGCCAAAGGGCTGTTTGTGGAGGGAGGCTTGGCCCTCCGCAAGGCACAGTGGGAAAGGTGTGTGGGCTCGGGCTTCCCACCCAGCAGTCACTGAAGTTCTTACAAACAAACCACCCTGAGAACACATGACTCAGTTCTGAGTTGCTCAGGATGGCTTGCTTTCAGGGCAGCTTGTGATATCTGAACTGTGCAGAGTGGCTTGTCAGTGAGGGCTTCAGAGGAGCTCAGCAAGAGCAGCAAAAAACCCCAGCCGTGCCTCCCAGTGTTCATCCTTTCTTCTCCGACACAGTTAATTTGATGGGGAACATCTTTATTGCCCTGTGAGTCAAATTAGCACAGCTCTGTGTGCATACCCTCAGTTCAGAGTCCTCAAAATTCAGGAGCAGTGGTGTAAGTTCCCCTCCCCTCCTGCTTTCATGTCAACCCCTCCAAGAACAGTTAAAAAAAGATTCATTTTCTTCTTCTTGTGCAGCAAGGAGGATTTAAATGAATAAAACCCTCAGCCATCTCCTCTTAAAAAGTAAAGCAAGTGAAACCTAAAAAGGTAGGGTGCATATGTCAGTGTAGGTGCTTCGAAGGCAAGGGTAGAGGCACAGCAGGTGTACAGAAGTGGGGCCATGACGGTCCCTGGGAAATGTGCACACCTGGAGCAGGTGAGAAGAGTTCAGAGGAAACAAGCCTCAGAGAGACCGATTAGCTGACTGCACCATCGTTGGCTGAGGGATCAAAGAGATGACCTGTGATGCCTTTGTTCTCAGGGTAGCATCGAGGTCCAAAAACCCCTTCTTGGAAAGCTAAATAGACTTGAAGGAATTCTTTAAATATATCTGAAGAAAGAAAGCCGCTGAAGAAGCTGCTGGACCACTGGATGAAGATGGAATGAAAGGGGGACAAAAAGAATGCAGAGAAGTTGATTTTTTCATCAGTCTTCCGAGCAGATGATAAAGGGCAGAACAGAACATAGGAGAAGCCCTGCTGGATCAGAGCAAAGGTCCATCTGGTTCAGCCCTCTGCAGTCATGGTGGCAGATAAGCTGCCCACAGGAGCCTCCAGGCAGGATGGGTGCGGGACCTCATCCTGCGCGGCTCCTCAGCAACTGGTAAAGGAGGTGGCACTCAGCCAGCAAGACTAGTAGCCACGATAGTCTCCTCTTCCAGTTGCGTCTCCAAAGTATGTTCTGTTTGACACACTCCCCATATGTAAACTTAGGGATGGGGGAAGATTCTGGTGCTCTGGGGGTGCCACTGCGCATACCAGAGAGATCTGCAGCTACAGAGGTGCCTGCAGTGTTTCCATCAGCAGAACGGTCCGCCCCACCCCTCCTCCCTGCCCCTCCTGGGGGAGGATGCTGCGCTGCTCCCCTCCTAATCAAGCAGTTACAGGATGCCTCCCGTCCCAGCAAGGGGTCTGTGCTCACACAAAGATAGCAGATACCCTGCAGGGGAAGCTGGGCATGTCCTTTTCCCAGGTGGCTCACTTTCCCCTGGTGACAGGAAAGGAAGCCTCCTGCAGCCACACTAGCCCAGCCTCTTCCCAGCTCAGGGGCAAGTGGCACTCCCAGCACTGAGGCTGTGGAGTCTGTGCTCGATTCACAGGGATGTGTCAGGCACAGACGTCCAAGGAGAGTTCACAGCGCAGCCTCAGCACAAGGAGCAGCCCTGGGCCCTCCAGGAGGAGCAAGCAGCTTTTTTCCTTTCCTTGGCGCCACTGGGGAAGGCTAACTCCCACCCCAACCCAAGGAGCAGGGTCTGCACTATTGAAAGTCTGGGCCTGGAAGTGTTTTTTCCTCCTTAGTTAAATCTAAAAGATGAGATTTATTCCACATGTATCACACACATTTTCCAATCTATCCTCCACTTTTTCCATTCTGCTTCCACAAATTATTTTAACCCACTGCAGGTCTTTCAGCCCTTTTGAACCTTCACGCCCAAACTGTGTGAAAGTTATAGCTCCAGACTCTTATGCAGAGGCCAGATACCAGCTTTCAGGGCTGCTCCTTTAAATGGGTTCTACTGATTCTTGCAGAGAATTGTTAGGTCTGGAGGGTTATTTCTTGCCAAAAGTGCATTGCTGTGAAGGGACACAAGAATGGTCTACATTACATAGCCTAAATCACCAAGGTTAACTCTCTGGCATGTTTGTGGCATCCTCTTTTGTGGTGAGGTGGGCTTGTGTGTTGGTCGCCCCTTGTTCCAGCCTCCCTCCATGTACAATTAAGGAGCACAGAGCAGGGAACACACAGGCTGCTACAGGGCAGTCTGAAGCCTGGGGATCTTTAGACCATCCAGCATGAGACCAAATGATTCACACTTTGTACAGGAGGCACATTTTGTGGCCTTCAACATTAAATACTTTCTCCAGAAGTGACAGTCATTGGTCACTAAGATTTACACAAGCATGCTGCAAAATTATTAGTTCATTGTTTGCTGTACGGCTACATCCTTTTCCAGAGTGGATTAATGATTATTGTTTTGGCTTAAACAAAATTGCAGTCACAGTTGAACTACCAAAGTGAAATTAGTACTTATCTGCAAACAAACAAACAAACAAACAAACGGTCTTTTAATTAGTGATTTCCTCCTTAGTGATTACTGGCATCTGCCCCTTCAATTAGTTGCTCCCTGTTCAGTGGTATTCCTGAGGTATTCCTGCCATTCCTGAGGTATGGCAGAGGTATTCCTAAAAGGGTTCTGAATGATGTCAGATCCTCTGCCTGAGGGAGGGGAACAAATCACTTTTTTAGCAACACCCAGAGCAGTTACTCATTCATTTAATTTACATTTTCAAGACTGGTACTTTTTTAAATAGGGAATTTTCCTGGGAAGCATCACTGTGCAACTTGCCCACACACATCAAACCAAGATTTCACACATGAAAGAGAAGTCACATTACTCACTTTCTTTTACAAAATGCTACTTTCCAATTATCACAAGACTAGGCCATGGAGGGCCGGAACCCCAGCTACCTTGGCCAGCCTTCAAGTACATACATCAGGGACACAGAACCGAGGAATGGAATGCGGGAAGGGCATCTGGCTCCACATTTACACAAGGAGATGGTTCGCCTGATGCATATCACCCCAAGCAAGGGGCTGCTTGAGATTGGGATCCGAGTCTTCCAGAATCAAGTTTTTCCTCTAGACTTAGAAAGATGCTGCTTACATTCCTCCAGTGAAGTTCCTAAGTAACTAGATTTTTTTAAAATGTCACAGAATTCTTGAATGGTTTTTGGAGATAAAAAGTACCCTTCCCATTGAATACCTTTCTGACACCCCTTTCAAATCTCACACTTTGGCAACCAATATCCACTATCCTAGCTGGTGACAATTCATTTAATTTGTGGTTAGTGGGTGCTGTGCAATCCACTTTCTCCCTTTCAATCACTTGCTCTTTACAAAGTGGGCTCAATAACGACTTGACCTTCTAAACTGGAATGTGGCATTCAAAGGGGGTCATCCAGTTATTTTGATTCATTTTATAAAACCACATCCTCTATTCCCAAGTGGGCCAAACCGTGCGCCCATCACTCCAAAAGCCGCTCTGCCTGACTCCTTTGCACCAGTCGGTAATAGGGGCCCTTCTCCTCCATCAGCTGGGCATGGGTCCCTTCCTCAACAACCTGCCCGCCTTGCAGCACCACAATCTTGGCCGCATTCTCCACTGTCTGCATCCTGTGAGCGATCACCAGCACTGTCCGGGAACGGCGCTTCAGCAAGGACTGCTGGATCTGTGGGAAGAAGCCATCATCCATGTGAGGGCCACAGAGCGCAGAGAGAGGAGGGAGATCCGCATAAGCATTGCGGCACCCCCTGCCCTCCCCAGGCACAAACTCTTCTCCGTGCTGTGCAATCGAGTAACTTGGTTACAAAGCGTTTATAGAGAACGGCATAGGGAGCCTTCAGTCTGCACAGCACATGCAACCCACGAGGCCTCCGCGCCTGGTTTACGGGCTCCCCTCTCAGCCAGTGCCTTGCTCAACACTCCACAGGGCAAGGTGGCCTTCTGGAAAGCCACCCCCACTGCTGGTGAGAGCTTAAAGAAGGGGGACTGCAGTGCAGGAGGAACTTGAGGGAGGGGTTGCTGATGCAGCTACGAGGCAAACCTCGGGTGCGGTAGCTATTGCAAGAGGCACAGCCAAAGCAAAAAGGGGGCCCTTCCCACTCCACATTCCCTCTCTGTGCACTGTGACTGCCCCCCAACCACACAATTAGGCTCAAGAAATGCTTCCACTGATGCCAATGCAAGCTTTTTTAAAGTGCAGTTCCTGACAGGAGGGGCTGAAGCCAGGGAAGTGTGAGTGTGTGTGAGTGAGTGAGAGAGAGAGACGGGGTGGCCCTGGACCTGCCCTCTTTGGGTTCTAGTTCCTGGAAGGTTTACTATGGAAATGTCCTCTTTGGACAACAGAAGGCTCCTGTGCTTGTAACAGAGCTTATGGTGTTTTCGAAGCACCTCACATACTTCATATTCCTTATAACAGCCCTGCGAAGTAGGCCAGCATTTGGGGGATGTTGATGTGCCCCACGGTTCATAGCATTTTGCCACACTGATTCACACCAAGATGGGCAGAGGTGGAAAAAGGTGGCTTTGCTCTGTAAACGTAGGACTGCAGTGAGGTGGGCCCCCATAAGCAGTGGTACCAGGCAGCCACTGGGACTTGCAGGCCAAGGTCTGGCCAACTACCGACAGCTGGAGCCAAGGCATCCCATTATCCACAGCAGCAACCCCTTGACCAGGAAAGGGAAACTGAGGCAAATTAACCCTGAGATCATATGTAGAAAACAGGGAACTGGAGGCTGGGGAGATGCACACAGTGGCACAGAAGGACTCCTCTCGATCTACATTTCTCTGTCCCGGGAACAACTCCCACTGCACAGAGCAGAGACATTAAGGCAAGTTACTTCAAGATCATTAGTGCAAAGCAGGAGGTCATACCTTTCGTACACACGAACACAAGTCTGCACTCTTTTTCTCTCTGTCCCCTTCTTTGAGCACATGGGGACAATCCAGATGGGCCCAGCACCAGCTGCACAAAGCAAGGAGCCACCTCTGCCAATGTACTATTCAGAAAATTGTGTCTGCCGGTGGAAAAGATGCCTAAAAGTGAACCATCTAACAGTTCACAAATACAAATTGGAACACTTTCTGTGCCAGCAGGGTGCGGGGCCTGGGCACTGTCCCTACCCTGCAAACAGACACTGCTAGAGACTCTGTATAACCTCAGAGGAACTATCAACAGGGTTCCTATATCCCATGCTCCAGGAATATCTGGGCAAATTTCAGACCAGGCAGCAGTTTGTAAGTAAAATCATTATATAAAGGCAATTCTTTCACCTTCAACCGACCCATCTCACATTATTAAGCCCTGTGCGGCAAGGAGTTCAACTCCCACCCACGGACTCGTTCCCAAGATGCACTCACTGCTGCTTCACTCTCCACATCCAGGGCACTTGTGGCTTCATCCAGCACCAAGACCTTTGGGTTCCGGATCAGGGCCCGGGCAATTGCCAGGCGCTGCTTCTGCCCAGCTGACAGCTGGTTCCCCTTCTCCCCTACATCTGCAGGGAAAGAAAGAAAGAAAGAAAGAGAAGCTGAAAGCAGATCAAACAAGGACCCAAAAACTTCTCTGCAAAAACAGTAGTGATGCTGGTTGGATCAGCTGAACAAGGGGATTCACAGTTAAAGGGAGGGCCCGAGAATGGGTGGGGCAAGAATGGTGGGGCTGCAGGACGGAGCTCAGACTGGGACTCCTGGGTTTTATGTGCAAGAAAAATCGGGGACATGAGGTGCTTCCAGAGGATGGTGATTATCAGCATTCAATTGTTGCTGAGGTGTTTCTGTCTGCAAGTGGAATTGCAGTCATGGATCCATAACCCACGTGCCACTTTCTGGCCTAAATATTGCAGTGAGGGCTGATTTTCACCAGGTAGGAAGCTTCTTGGGAGCAGCACTGGCTGGCAATGGTTGGAAACAGCGTTGTGGAATAGAAGGCCCTCTGTGTTGATGCAGAGAGCATGCCAACCAGATGAAGGCCCTCCTTCAGCTACGAGGATTAGCAGTACTGGACAGATGTGTCTCTTAGTACCTTGTATCAAGGAATTACACAAGCTGGACCGGTGCCTTGGTCAGTTTGGCCACTGAATCCCGCAGAATTTTCCCTGGGGAAGGTGAGAGCAGTGAAGGGCTTTCATGAAGGCAGAGCATCCAGACAGATTGATTTTCTGGGAGAAGAGTGGAGTTCCACAAACAAGAAGTGTGTGTGGCAGCAGGAAATGAGGCAGTGGGGAATGTGGGAGGCCACAGATTTTGCTAACTTGTTGCTGAGTTTTCTGGCAGAAATGTAGGCGTTTTGCAGAGGTGACATGCATATGAAGGGAGAGAAGACAGATTTCACCCACCTGCAGAGAACCCTCCTTCCAGGTTCTGGATGAATCCCAGGGCGTCCGCTTCTTCTGCTGCCCTGGTCACTTCTTCCATGCTGCAGGCCTGCATGTTGTAGGTGATATTATCCCGTACAGACCCAGAGAAAAGAACAGGTTCCTGACTCACAAGTGCCACCTACAGATAAAAGACATGAATGGGTGTTTACAGGGAGGCTGAGAGGCTCTACTAAATGTAGGGGGGGGGTTTCTGAACACTCTTTCCCAATTATCAAAGCTAAAAGGTAGTTTTAATGAAACAAGAAAAGAATTTTAAAAGCAAAATATTGCAAACAGAAGTATTTCCAGCATCTGGATGGTTGGCGTTGATCATGAACATTTTCTTTGTGGTTCCCACTCATGTATTTTCAGAGGCTGCGTTTTGCCATCTCTACATTGACAGCCAATGACAACCCCTCCAAAGTGCCCAACTGGCTTCCCACCTTTTGGCCAGCAAAGATCACTCACTACTTTCTGTTCCCTTGAGAGGCTGCCTTTTAACTGCTGTCAAGGGGAGTAAGGGAAGTAAGAGTAACCCCCCCCTTCCCCTCCTTCTCTCTTGGTCCTCCACAGGTATCCCAGAGGATTCTGCACAAGACCAACTTGTCTCCCTATCTCTGTCGCAATTGTGAACCATTTTTCTCTTGCTATAGCATGGGGGGGGGGGGGTGTCCGGAGAAAGTAAAGGCTGGCTTGACAAGTGGCTTTTACAATCCCCATTTTGAAAGCTACAAACAATTCCTTCAATGTAGACACACTGGCATCTTGGATAGGCTATTGGTGATTGGTAAATATTGTTTAAATTATTTTAGGCACACAATACACACCATTTTCTAAAATCTGCACTGGCACAACTGCACATGAGAGTCCAAATATGCTTTTCCTTCTCTTGGCTTCTCTCGACAGCTGTCAAAAGGCAAGCTTTAAGGGAAAGCAAAGGCGTGAATCTAGCTGCTCAGGAAAGTACAGAAGTGCCTCAGACCCCTGCTTCTAGTTGTCAGAAAACTAGCTGTCAAAACTCTGGGGGTTTGATAGGGCAATGGGGGTGGGGTTTATTGGGACATATATGGTCATATGTCCCAGGTTAAACTCTGTAAAAAATATGTCCCTACCAAAAAAGGTGTGATAGTACCAATATAGTTTTCCAGCGAAGAAATTTTATAATCATGTCCAAATCTCACTTAACAAACTGATCTTTAATTCTGACAGTTGTCAGAGTTGAAAACTCCCATGAATGAGGTGCCTCACATTGTTGCTCACTCTCAGAGTGCTAGAACCTCAGAAATACGTGCGAGCACCCCGGGACTTACTACAATTTGCCAGCTAGCAAAGTACCTGAATAGGAGGAAGAAAACCTTACCAGCGGTTTCTGGGGGGTAATATGAGGATACGTACCTGCTGAACGATGATGGCAGTAGCACCCACCTGCACACTGCCCACCCACGGCTCCCCAGAACGCCAAATGTTAATGCCTGCACCAGCGTATGTATGAGCAAAACAAACGTTTTAATTTTTAGCATATACTTGCACACATTTCAGGGTATGAATTTGTCTTCAAAAGATACATTTTAAAAAATATTTAAAAATGAAATTTGTTTTAACTGACAGCTGGCTATTGCATTCTCCAGAAAAAAAATGGAATGGTGTAAAAAGTCACGCTAAGACCAAAAACTTGTGTCAGGGGTGTGAAGAAGCCAGTACCAACTGTCCTAAGTGCAGTTTGGGCACTTTGGGGGTAAATGGCCCTTATAGTTGCCTGGAAGTCTCATGGCTGCAGTAGCAGGGATATTTCGTGGATCTTGTCATAAAGCTCTGTAACCAATTCCTGTACTCAAGCCACTGTGGATGCAACAAACCCTGTTGCAGCACACATTCTGCTGAGGTGGCTTGTTGCTCACACACAAGCAGCCTAGAGAAATTGACATGACAACCCAACATGGGTACCAAACCCTATTGTGCAAACCCAGGTCATTGACTGGCTTCATATCATACATTCTCAAGGTTAAGCTGGAATTGAGTGTGGGTTGTCACTGTATTATGGGTTGCTGAAACACGGTTATGTTCTCGGAAACCAGGACAAGCAATCCACAATTCACAACTCAACAACCAATGAATTCTCATGGGTCATGAACCCCATATAAGGCATTACAGTACCCCAGGTACAAAGTTAACTACAGTTGTGCCATCTCTAAATTGCACTAAGCTGCCTTCAGGTGTTCAAGCTTAGGAGGAGAAAGGAATTTCAGAAAAATAGCCCTGCTAAGTCTCTTGCACCAGAAATAACAGAGCCTTAGAACAGCTGAAAGTCTAA